AGGCACACACATGTATATTAAACAGAATAAAACAAAATAAAACACACATTTACAAACCTTTAAATTTACTTTACGTTTGGTACTGCGTAACGCTGCTGCAGGAACACAGCGACGGGGTCTTCTCGCTGATGACAAACAACACAGAGTACATTTAAAAACTATATAAATACATTAAACAGAATAAAACATAATAAAAAAATTTACGAACCTTTGAAATTTACTTCTGTTGCCGCAGCTGTCGTGCAGGGGGGGGGTCTTGTCACTCGCTGATGAAAGTACTGACGGGTCTGGAACACAGCAGGTGTCTTCTCGTGGATGGAAGTATCGACTGAATGAGAAGCGTTCTTTTAAACGCATCGAGAACCGAGGAGGGGCGGGATCTAATGCTTTAAACACGAGCTGATTGGCTGAGGKGTKGGTCTAAAGCCTAACCCTRACSGATGAWTGGGCGATGGAAMAGTTTGATGACAACTTTCTCGAACTGACAGTTTTCAAGGAGGCAGGAAGTCACGAACTGGAAAGAGGGAGGGTGAACAGACAGGAGGATTGCATTAGATTAACATCTGTTCAAAAACAGGATGTTGTGGTCAAAAGGATAGGGTTTATGTCAGGTCAAACTCCTTTTGCAACAGAACACCTGTTCAAAAACAGGATGTTTACAGTCAAGGCTTACGTGCATCGAGGGGGAAAGAGGGAGGGGACGATTACGGTAAATCGAGGGGGAAAAAGGGAGGGGTAGGGTTACTGTAAGTCAAGGGGGAAAGAGGGAGGGGGACTGTCACGGTAAATCGAAAGAGGAAGTCATGAAACGGAAGTTGACCATATATGGAAGTCCCCCAGGAAGGACGGGCCGGAAGTTGACCGTATACGGAAGTCCCGCCCTAAAGGGGCGGGGCACCTGTCACTTTTGTGTGACATAATTTCTTAATCAGTTGATGATTGCTGGGGTATCATTTCTCTCTTCTCCTACCAACCTGGGCTTCATCCACTTCAACCACTTGGTAACATGATCTGGACAGATGGCATTCTCCAGGGTCGTCATGTTATCAGGCAACATCAGCAGCATGGAGAAGGAATTGTTGAAAGGAAGCTGGAGGACTGAGGTGTTAATTGCCTGGTCATCGTAGGTTTGAAAGTGTGTTTCTTCCATTCTCATCATCTTGACTGGAACCTGGAAAAAGAAGACTTAAAGCAATTATATGGGAAAAAAATTTCTCCATAAAATACAAAATAGCTAACGATGCACTACTGCTCAAATGTGTTCAAAATAAAGTGCAACTTTGAACCTTATTGGTTTCGTCTACATTGAACTCGTCCTCCCTGGTCATATCAGGATCAAATGGAGTCGCCCACTTGCCTGTTTGAAAGTGATCAGAAGAAAAAAGACTTTTAGGAGTTATCCATTGTAAAAATAATTTAAGAAACTAACCTACTACTACCTTTATAGTAAATGTAGCTGAGGAGATACATGACTGTGCCTGGATCCAGGCCTTCGACTAGCTTGTCGATCTTTCCATTGTTCTTATCTGAAACATACTTGTTGATGGTGTTGGCGCTGTCTGTGGGTTTACTG